AACAAGGAATTTATTTTTATTTGCATTTGTTGAATATGAATAGTAAGTAGTAATGTGATATGTAATCATTACTTTACAGGATAAATAGCAATAGCACTTAGACTTATATACCATTCACAGTGCTTTACAGCCCTCTCTAACCGATTTACAGAGTCAGCATATTGCCCCCAATAATCTGGGTCCTCATTTTACCAACCTCAGAAGGATGGAAGGCTGAGTCAACCTTGAGCCCGTAAGACAAACTGCCAAACTGCTGGCAGCCTGGAGTCAGCAGAAGCAGAAGTAGCCTGCAATACTGCATTCTAACCACTGCGCCACCAAATTACTAGATTTGAAAGTGCATTCAACCAGAAGTTAGTAGAAACATTTTTTTTTCTCTTGCTGTAGTAAATCCTGAAAGTGTGGAAGTAAAATAAGGGCCCCTATACCTTTCAGAGAGCTTGTGAAAGAAGTTACCTTTCAGGCATTATTACTAAGTCATTCTACATTTATTTAAAAAGAATATTATCATATATTATTTCTTGATGCTCTTTTAGACTGCCCAACAATTCCTATGGAGCACCCTGATCCAAAGATTATTCAGGAATATGGTAGCTCAATTTTATCATCCAATAATAAGATGGTAAATTTGAGAGGCCACCTCTACTAAGCAGAAAAACAGAATAACAGAGTTGTAAGGGACCTTGGAGGTCTTCTAGTCCAGCCCTCTGCTCAGGCAGGAAATTTCAAACAAATGGTTGTCCAGTGTCTTTTTAAAAACTTCCAGTGTTGGAGCACCCAAAACTTCTGGAGGCAAGTTGTTGATTGTTCTAACTGTCAGGAAATTTCTCCTTAGTTCTAAGTTGTTTCTCTCCTTGATTAGTTTCCATCCATTGTTTCTTGTCCTGCCTTCAGGTGTCCTGCCTTCAGGAGAATAGGTTGACCCCCTCTTCCTTATGGCAGCCCCTTAGTTATTGGAATACTGCTATCTTGTCACCCCTAGTCCTAAGGACCCCTAGTCCTAAAGCTTATCTAAGCCTTAAATAAATTTTTGCTTCCCAAATTTCCAAGAGTATCTTCCTAATAAGACTGCAGTGAAAATTTGGGCATTTCAACATAGTAACCAATTTCCCATATATCAAAATTATCCAAAATGGACTTATCCTGCCAGGTTCCAAACTGACCAGCATTTCCTCTAACTGACAAATAGAGAACCACAGAAATTTGCAGCTTCCCGCCATTTGTTTTTCTGGCAAAGGAGAAAAGAAAAATAGGTCTGACAATAACAATAACAAAAAAAACCTTTACAAACTGATATATAAACATTAGGGAATTCTACAAATTTTGCATCTGCCAGGGCAGCCAAGTGCCATGTAGTCAGGAAGACAAAGCAGGTGAGAATTCTAGTAGGAAACTGAGCTGTACCATCAAGCTCCTGCATCTCAAAATAAAAGTTTTGCAGTTTGAACTGTGCCAAAGAAGATGATGTGGGAAAGCTGGGGCATGGTACAGATATAGTATCAGTGCCAAACTCTTTGTGGAAAGGTCTCCTAATGACCCAAAGACAACTTCATGGATTATATAAATAATTGGAAATTACAATTAAAGCACTCATAATTGCCATTCCCACTTACTAAGTTAAGTATAATGCCAAATAAATATTCTTTAAGGGGAATATCATGCATTCCACTAAGAGTAAAAAGCTGTGGTCAATTAATGTGAATTACTGACTTTTAGAAGGACTGGGAGCTTTTGTAATTACATACAACAAAACAACATTTAGTCAAATACCATAATATTGACCATGTTGTTGTTGTTAATTGCAAAGTCATGTCCGACCCATTGCGACCCGGTGGACAACGTTCCTCCAGGTCTTCCTGTCCTCTACCATCATTTAAGTTCACGCCTACTGCTTCAGTGACTCCATCCATCCACCTCATTCTCTGTCGTCCCCTTCTTCTATTGCCCTCAATCTTTCCCAGCATATGCAGTATTTAACTGGAATATAGGATATAACCCTGATTGTTACTAATGGAAGTTATCCATGTATGCTCATAAAGGGCTCTGATGTGAAATTAAAATGCACATTTAACAAAGAGCATGTGTATATTTATAAATGTCCTCACATCCTTGGCTCACAAAGTAGAATCATATATTTTTACATATTCTCATTGTGAGGAAGATTGCAATAGATGGAACACATTTCCTCCAATAGACTATCTCACCATTTTATGATTACGTAAGGTCAACTAGACTGCTAATAGCAGTGAATTCTCTACTTATGTTAGTTCTTGCTATTTTGATTGGAAAATAGAAGACTAATCATTTGCTACTTTCATAGGTTTCATACATCTCAGTACTGCCTGTTTGAAGGAGAATAAGAGAACAATAATTTCTGAAAATAATTTCTCCCCACTGAGATCTAGTTTTCAGCAAATATTACAATGCAATATCATGCACTGATTAAATGTATCCCATTTTTTTCTCACAAAAGCTTGAGGTGGTCCACACATACAGTTGAAGAAGCTTCTTGAATGAGAAATGAAACATCTTCAAAGAAAAACAAGAAAGTCCAGTTGCCTCTTGAGAAAGCAACTTTGGGACACACATACAGTAGTTCTCTCTTCAACTATTGGTTATGGTAAGGAATAATGGCTGGCTAGAAACCATCCAGCATCTACTTGAGGAAGTAGGAATCTGACCCCAGTTCTGTGATACTGTACTCCGATGGATGGACCATTTGAAGACCTGAAAGACCAGGTGGGAGACAGATCATCATGAAAAAAATATACCTATGGGGTCACTAAGAATCAGAACAGATTTGATAGCACATATTCTATCGACCAATCTATCTATCTGGGAACTATTGAAAGAAACCATATAAAATGTCAGAGTCCTCATTCTTAGAATTCCTAATAGGAAACTGGAATTATTATCATCATCTCATTCAATACCCAAGTCTTTCAGGAAAATTAATTACATGAAACATAAAAATCAGTACAAACAATAAAAAATAAGTAATCAGGAAAAAAGACAAAATAGTTAATGCAGTCACTTAAAATAATACTTTAAAAAAACAACAGCAAGAAAATGGCTAAGACAAAGACAAGTAACTTCACCTAATATCCAAGATATCCACTAAGTTCCACTGTAAAGCTCTTCTTTGCAACCACTAAGACCAGATTATTTCAGAAAGCCTTTAGCGATCCCCCCCTCCATCATTAAACGATTGCAGGAGCATCTGTGGGGGTGCACAATCTAACCCCTCTCCTTTTAAACATATGTCAATCACAGAGTACCATCTTGACTTTTTTTCTCATTCAAATTGCAGATGCTCCTTTATAATTGTAATGTTAACAAGAATATATTATATAATAAGATGGAAGTGAACATTATTGTTAGTTGTTTGCTTTTGTACTGTATTATTTATTGCTTTAACATTTCTACTCCATTGGAATGTACACTGTTTAGAGTTATTTATGAATGAAGTAGATTATTAGCCGAAATAAATAAAATACTGAAAGTGGCTCATGACTCATAAATAGTCTTTACTCTATGTGACCATAGGAGATTTCACTCTATATGTTTATTGAAATCATAGGAAGGAAAGAGTTACACATGCATGAATTATCTATATAGTCACTCAGATTTTACAATTCTCCTTTCTAATTCAGAATATGCAAGCATTGATTTCATGCTACAACTTTCACATGCTCCAGTCAGCATAACCAATGATGAGAGATGATACACTCTAGAGAATTGGTAGGCAACATTGTGAGAAAGACTGTAGCAAACAGACATAAGATATTACAAAATCAATCAATTCGATCTCTAACCATACCTAGTCAAGAAGTAAATCTTTGATATCATAAAAACAATATGGGCAATTGTTTTACCTTTTTGCATTGGAATCTCCATTCTAAATAGTTTTACTTGGAAGTTCATCCCATGCTTTTCCTACTTTCAGAGAAATGGAGATACTAAAGTACCTATGTTAGTTTTATTAGGACATAACATTGACCAAGAAAAGCTGTTGTATTAGCATAATTACAGCTGGTTTTATAATATGTGAGAAGATTCTAAATCATCTACAAGACTCCACCAGATTGTCAAAACAGGAAAAAATAGTAGAATTCCCAGACAAAAGGTTAATGCCTGACATTTTGCTAGGAAGCCAGCTTTGGGACTTTGGAAAGAGTTGAAAGAAGTTTTTTTCTGAATATTTCATGCAATATTCCAACAGTTAATTATTTATCTTTGTAAACACTTCAGTTGTTCTGATTAAAATGCTTCCTGACATTTATGGAAGGCAAAAGGGAGAAAAAAAACTCTCCAAAATATATCTGAAGGAAAATAAAATTATACAATTAACAATTCACAGAATGGAATAAAAAGAAAACAGATGGTTGGCTGCATTACTATTTTTATAAAATTCTTGTTCAAGCTGGTTATAGATTGCCAAAAAAACCCTCTCCAAGCATTATCTTATCATGCTACACAAGGGCAGATTTCTTTTAATAATTAACAACTGCATTAAATTGAAAGAGCAAAATCGACAGTAATTTGGTCAAAACATTTTATAATTTTACAAGCTTATGGGTTTTATCTTGACTTCTACTTAAAATATCTTGAAATGCATCATAGCTAAACCACATCTACTGGGAAGCAGACAGCCTGGTGCTGAAACATCTCACAACTGAAGGAACTGCCATCTTTCCCCTGATTGAGGGTTCCCTGGTTAACTCTGCTGCCTGCATCTCTGTTCCAGAAAAGGTTTTCTTGTACTGAGAGTTCTAATTCTTCACTCAGAATGAAATACTTCCAGACAAGTGTTCCACGTGGCACACAAAACCCCCAATTTAGATGCAAATAATGTATGAAATAATGAATTTATTGTATAGCAATTATACAGTAATTTTGCTACTTGATGTGTCTGTGTGTATGTGATAAACAAATACGATTTATATGATTTTGTCTTGCAGAGAAAAGAAACGAAACAATAAATATTCAATATTTAATACCTGGGGGTAGCTATCAGTTCGTGGTAAAACAGATATATCATATGTGGCAGCAAAATGACTTTTGGCTTGTTGGATTTGTCCATAACGTTCTCTCTTTCTCCATTTTGCTCTTCGGTTTTGGAACCAGACCTATGTCAAATAAGAAAATTATTAGATTGTCCAAAAGACCATTTTTGCTGCCCTCCCTCTTAATTGTTTTGCCAGCCCATAGAGCAGTGATAAATTGCTTAAGTCCCAGGATTGCAGCTGACCCCTGAAACTCCTGAATATATCCCAAAGGCACCTTGAAAAATTATGTCCACATCATAAATATTTCTTTGCTCTGCTACACATCTCCATCATTTAATTCATTCAACCAAATACAGCCCTTGGTCCAAAGCACTGAGGAGAAACATGGCCAAAGGTCACTTCTTGACTTATGATTTAATAGGTCATCTTTAAATTTAGAGCACTTTGTGGATAAGAAATTATCCTTTACTCTGTTTTGGATTTTAATGAAATCCTAGAACCTAACAGTGTTCTGATCTCGATAGGTACAATCATAAGGTGTTCCTAAGACATGCAATGAAAGAGTTTCTGGCAGACAGAGGAAGGACTTCTTAATGGAGATCTTTTATGAAGACAGAATAAAAAAACACAAGGATGGCTGAACTGTGGTCCAAGTCTAAATCCATAAAATTCCTTTTTATAGACTAATGCAGTTTGATAACCAATAACTTTTAGGTTCCATGTAGCTTTTAGTTTAATATCATGCTACCTTCAGGATAATTTCAAAAGTCCTTTTCAAATAATCAGGCTGGAATTCAGACAGGAAAGGTTTCCATTACAAACATCATCTTTTTGAATGTTTGATAAAATGTGGGCAAACTGAAGATTTGTGAAAACATTGCATCGAACAAGTCTATTGGCACCATTTTTCTAATAGCATTTGCTCAATTTGTGTCTCTGTGTCACATTTTTGTAATGCACTGATGATGTTAGTTTGGTAATGAAACATCTGCAAGAAAACCGCCAGCTTCAGGGAGCAACCAAGGGTCCCACATTTTCATAATTCTCACAATATGTCATGCTTTTTCAGCATTATTAATCAAATGATGATTAGCATTTTAGCAATCCAATGTTTTAATTAAAGTCTGCACAATGATTTTTTTAGATATGATGCTATTACACAGATAGACTACAATATAGTACATACTTTTGACTTTTTCTTCTTCTTTACTTATTTTACCATTTCAAGTGTCAAAGGAGCATATACTGTATATACTACATATAACTTTCATATTCAATGGGAAAGCAAACAATTGTGTGACTCACTTTTTTTTCAATATTCACTTCATTGTGGTGATCTTGAGCCAAATCCATAATATTTTCAAGGTATGCCTATATTTTTAGTAGGCTTTTTGTTGATCTCTGATAACCCATTGCATGACAGCAACAGCCATGCATCAGGTGAGCCTAGAAAAATTACTTCCCTGTTACACTAAGGCATTTTGGTGAATTCTGCAATATAATTCCATGATGTATTCTGAATATCTAAAATAAACAATGTTTCCTAACTTTAAGTCATCATATGTTGTTGCCTACACCTTTCACCATCCCAGACATCAAGCCAATGTAAAGAGATTTTGTCATGTAAAAGACCTCATGATTAAGTTCCCATAATATGTTCTCTGGAGAAGTGGAGTAGGGAATTTTCATAGCCTTCAGCAAAATAGAATTACAAATATACCCATAAGAATATGACCCTACAACTGATAGACTTCCAATATCTGAGAATATTTGTTCTGCACAATCATTTGTAACCTAAATCTCTACCATTTTCAAGCATTTTTATTTTAAATATGCTAAATATGGCAAGCAAAATAAAAAATGCAGGATCCAATCTGGATCAGTCACCGGGACCAGAGGTTTAGTCTTCTGAACTTTCAGACTCATACTGGAGCCCCCATCCTCGGGGAACTTCTCTCTACTGGAATGTGTACTTTGGACTATTCTATGTATAGTATTTATGTATACATACTAGTAAAGCCCTAGTAAGACCACATCTGGAATACTGCAGCCAATTTTGGTCGACATATCACAAAAAAGATGTTGAGAGTTTGGAAAAAATTCAGAGAAGAGCAACTAAGATGATTAAAGGCCTGAAGACTAAAACATACGAAGAACGGCTACGGGACTTGGGTTTGGCTAGTCTAAAGAATAGAAGAAAGAGGGGAGACATGATAGCAGTATTTGAGGGGCTGTCACAAAAAAGAGGGGGTCACGTTATTCCCCAAAGCACCAGAGAGCAGGACAAGAAACAATGATTGGAAACTGATCAAAGAGAGAAGCAACCTGGAATTGAGGAGAAACTTCTTGATAGTGAGGACAATCAACCAGTAGAACAGCTTGCCTCCAGAAATTGTGGGCGCTCCATCACTGGAGGTTTTTAAGAAGAGACTAGACAGTCACTTATCTGAAATGTTATAGGGTCTCCTGCTTGAGTGGGGGGGGGGCTGAATTAAAGGCCTCCAAGGTCCCTTCCAGCTCTATTCTATTCTATTCTATTCTATTCTATTCTATTCTATTCTATTCTATTCTATTCTATTCTATTCTATTCTATTCTATTCTAGTATTTAGAAGGATTTGGCAGCACAAGGAAACAACAGCCAACAACTTATTAGCTGGCCATCAGCATGCCAATTAACCAATAAGAAGCCACACCTAACCAGGGACCACATAAATACTGAGAATAGAATAGTCCAAAGCACACATTCCGGTAGAGAAGAGTTCCCTGAAGATGGGCTCCAGCACAAGTCTGAAAGCTCAGAAGACTAAACCTCTGGTCCTGGTGACCGACCCAGATTGGATCCTGCAACATTATCCCGGGACACGTATATTTGCCTTCATTCATGAAAATCAAAAATACCAATTAACATTTAAACCAATGTTTTTCAGATGTGACCATTTTAAGATATGTGAAGAAGTCCACAAAACCTAAAATTGTCAAGTTTGAGAAGCACTGATTAAACTAAGGACATAGAGGATATATTTTTGGTCAAGTGGTCTGTTATAAAATAACAGAGGCAAACTAGTGAGGTTGTTCCACCATCTTTAAGAATGCTTGTGGATTGGATAAGGGTTTCAGAAGCAGTCTTGAAAATAAAGATGATGCTAGAGAGTATTTTACACTATCCAGCTTCAATTTTTAAAACAATTGAATTTTTTTTTAAAATAAATAAAATAAAGTCAGGCAAGGCAAGGAGCCCAATGGCACTAGCAAGTCTCCATAAACACACTAGTGAAGAAGACCCTACATCGTCTGCTCGTGGTCTGAAACATTAGCCCAATCAAAACATTGTGCTTGGGAATATATCATTTAAAATATTGTTCCTTAAGTAAAAGGCATTTGTAAAAGCAAACTTTACAACAAAACTCTATGTGCACCAAAAGGCAACCAGAAAATGGAGTTACTGTACATGACAGAAAAGTCTATCCCTTGAAAGGAAAAGGCAAAGAAAGAGAGCATGGGAAGAGAGCAAGACACCTCAAATGGAGTAAAGATCTCTCTCTCTCTCTCTCTCTCTCTCTCTCTCTCTCTCTCTCTCTCTCTCTCTCTCTCTCTCTCTCTCTCTCTCTCTCTCCCCCCCCCTGCAGGATAAAATTCCTGACCCTACCACAGGGGTGTCAAACTCGCAACGTCACATGATGTGTCGCAACGTATCGCGGCTTTTTTGCCATTGCCAGCAACGGGGTGGGCGCAGTTTCACTATACCGCTGCCCTAGCATCTTCTTTATTTATGCAATCTCATCTGAAGCAATAATAGCAGGCTGTGGTACAAAATGGCAATGGCAGAGAACATCCAAAAAAACTATAGGAAGTTTTAAGGAAATGAGAAATCTTTGCCCATGCCCAAGACATGTCTATTTTCCTTCATGGAGATGTACATTTTTTTACTATGTTTACAAATTTGACCTGGAGGTCACATAAGCAATGTGGGCTGCTTTCCTTCTTTTTATTGGCTATATTTTGATTGCATATGAGTTTTAATATGGGATACTTTTCTATGCATTTTTGAATATATGTGTTTCCCTATTTTCCACATTTTACTTACTGTGACATGGGTGTTCTGATGTTCTTTGGAGGTGGGGGACAAACTGCAATTTTGCATCTGGGACATAATCCCCACTCTTACTTTTATTTAGTACCGTGGACAAATTCTTGTCTCTGGTTTGAATTAGTTAGCTTTCTGGAATTCGGTACTGGCTTCCAAAGAATGGTTTTGTGTTTTGCAATTCAATCCTCACCTTGGTCATTTTCATACAATTCTGTTTTGTTTTGTTTCTTAAAAAAAAAGCCCAATGATTACTAAGAATATCAATAGCTACAGGAGTAGAGAAAAGTTGGGAAACAAAAATAGAAAACTTAAATAAAAAAAAACCCATCTTGAAGAAAAATAATTGGCAAAAACTCTGGACAGAACACAGTGTTTTTGCTATGTTTTACGCAATCCCAATTTTTACCTTCTTCCATGCTGATTCTAAAACCTCGCTGATCCAGTCAATAATTCAGTTACACTAAATAAAAGAAGCACAATATTTTTTGAACCAACTGAAGTTTTCAAAGGCAGCCTACTCAATCAAGCATATTGTAACTAGCTGATATGAAGCAGATGGAATTTATGTTCTTAAGGTTTGCTACTTTTGTGTTCTCCAGTATCCTGTACAAAGGCTTATCTGCAGCTCTCAAAGAAATATAAGCTGGAATATTTGCTTTATTGGAGCTGCTAGACCCAAGTCATAACAGGACTGGAATTTCATGAAAGCTAGTAGCTGTATGTGACCTTCCAAAGTTATTGTTGCAAGATGCATGTTAGCATGGCAAACTACACAAATAATTTATTTCATATTTGTTCCTTTTCAACTGAATGACTGAATATATTCTAGCATTACCAATACTCCATCACATTCATAGTTAGCATTACATAATAAATCTGCTGCGAATAGAACACTCCTTCAGGGCAGTTAAAGATTAGCCAATTAAGAAACAATTAAACCACTTGAAATTATTTTCACCTAATAGCAGAAATAAGGTAACCGCCATGCTGAAACACCAGCATGAGAATTAATCTTCCACAGGCCCTCTTGCAAATTTAATAGAACAATTTTGGAAAGTGCACCCAAACAATCAAAAGGAGAAACATAGCTAATAAATATATCATGATCATGTATAACAATCACTAGTCAATAAAATTTACCCAACTGCATAATCAATTGCAAGGAAGAATTTTTTTTGTTCATAAACCTGTACTGTGTGAGGGATCTGAGAAACATTTTTGTCTCCTCATTGTGTCTACAGTAGGAGCAAATAACTCATAATATTTAATATTTAGGCCCCTGTCACTGTAAAGGACTTGACCCTCTCCTTAGGCTGGGAGCCAGTTACTCCACTGACATGCAACAGAAAAAGAAAACCACTTCAATAAATTAGATTCAGGCAGACTCTTTCAGCATGGAAGCAGGATGAAACTTAAATTGGATCTTGATGAAATACTGACCAAATGAGATGTGCAGTACATATATTCAGCCAATCATTTGGTTAATTTAAATCAAACAATTTGCTTGAATTTTAGGAAGGAACTTATGGGGGAAGAAACCCACATTTTTTAACCCTGACACTCCCCCAAAATGTTTCTGTTTACATCGATTTACTCAAAACCGACTCTTGGCAAAGATAAAGTAACCATTGCCTATACAAAATGAAGCAACAATCTGCTGCTTGTTATCCCTGCCTAACCAGATGCCGGTCTCTAATGATGTAAGGCCTTTGAAAATTGCTTAATATCATGATGGAATATTGTTGCCGCTCAGTGGAATTATGATCCCCATTCTCTTACACTGGCCTTTTTCAATAGACTGATCAGAGATGCAAAAATCTAGGGCATTTACTTCAATAGCACGGAAATCTCTATGTACACAAAGAATAGAATAAACAGTCTCAGAAAAAAAATGAAACCAGCAATTTTGTTCCAAGGAAAGAATATAATATATACAAGCCATAACATCACTCCCTCTCTGGCTCTGCCACTCTTTTATCTGTCCATAATGACTTAGGAAGCCTTAGCAAAGCAGCTGCCTTCTGAATTAGACCAAATCTCGCTATTCCTTCAAATAGTAAAATATGGCAATGCATGAACGGTACAGCAGTTTCTTCAAATGCAAAAGCAAAACCATAATCTGTAATTCTGAAAATTGTGGCCAGCAAATTTTGACTTAGATACATAGTTTTCAAAAATATTTGTTATTGACACTATTTTTTTTTAATTTGAGAAATAAGATGCTTTCAGTGTTAAATAACTACTAAATATTCTGGATTTAGTAGGATTAAGAAAGTATAGTTTTAGCTTGCTTAAATAAGACAGTATTTAATTATACAACCAGGAGACTGTGACTTTTAGGCCTGCCTGAGGAATAAAAGCCATCTGAGTGACTTTGTGCCAGTCACCCTCTCTCAGTCCAACCCACCTCCCAGGGTTGTTATTGTAGGGAAAATAGGAGGGGGCAGGAATATTATGTATATTCACTCCC